GAGTCGCAGACGTTCCTCCTCGCGAAACGTCCCCAGCGGCGAAGAGCGAGGAGAAACGGATATTTTCGCAGGCTATTATTACACTCACAATTGTGAGTTTTTGACTTGCTCATTGCATAGAGAACTCCACGCGCTGAAAAGATTAAGGCAAACATCTAAACTTCACAGTTTTCTGAGTTTTTGGCTAAAATACTCGTTACAATCATTGTTTCCTCTTTTAAAAATTATGCTCTTTCATGTGTTTTTGTTTTTTTAACGCCCTAACATCTTCATAATTTTCATTCAAAATCAAGGAGTAATTGTCATCCGTGATATTACATGTAACAGTAACTGATTTTTTGTTCGATTAGAAACTTGATTTAACAAAAATTAATCTAGTAGGTTGTTTTTTGATTCATCAGGGGCAAAAGGAGATTTGTTTCGCTTGGAAATCTTGAAAAAAACTTTCCTGAGAAAGCGTTTGAATGTTGCTGACATACTTCAACGTTAAATATGACTGTAAATAATTGAATATTTATTTTTGTAAATTTGGAAGCGGAGATTATATTTTCAGGATCAAGATCCCTGCAATGTAAATAAAAGTTGTCGTCGTAATGTTGTATGCATCACTTTTCTTTTGACGCCTTGCGTGTCACGACGGTGCGTTTCCCCGGGATAGTCGAAAATTAGATTCTTGATCACCGATCCCCCGAAAATTCAAAAAGTGGATTCTTTAGCGTGACAATAATACCCCTGCAATAAAGCCCCTCCAAATATAAGCCCCCCAAACTCGTAACGCAAAAAATCCTCCGTTAAATTGCCCCTCCAAATATAAGCCCCCCGGGGGGCTTGTACGAGAACATTGCCCTCAAATACAAAGTAAAACAAAGCAAAAACGTTAAATTTCCTTCCAACTATAAGGCTAGCCCAACAGGAGGGCATTTTGCATGCGCATGCGTGAATCCGCTGAACGACAATAGCGTGGGCGCATCAAATCTGATGGCGGGAAATCAAAAACTCGAGCGTAAAGTTAAAGTCCTTTTAAAAGCCTTTTCGTTGGTGCTTTGAATACCGTACTTTCCTACAAAAAATATTCTCCATGACAAAAATTGGACGTTTTCTACGCAGGTTTTCACTTGCAAATTTTCAGCAGTAGGTTTTCTTGGCTTTTTAAAGACTTTCAAGACAACGCCAAAAAGTCATGTTTCTGTATAAGTCTGATTTTCACTGGCAAAGCAGTGCATTTCTAAGGTTTGATTTTCAAACTCTGTTCAGCTGCTTTAAGACAAAAAGCGAAAAAAACAATTACCACGTTAGGTTTCAGTTTATTAGCGCGATGTCTCATGTTAAACTGATCGCGGAGACACGCGTTTATATATGTCACAAAAACATGAAATCTATGGGGTTTTTACAGTTTTCCGAACGTTTTCGCGGGAAAATTTATAAAAAATATTCTATAGGAAATGAAGAATGGATTGAGTTTGAGACAGCCACAATTACAAGCGATTATGTAGTACATAATCACTTGAGCATTTCATAAGCTCAGTTGCAGACAAAACGAATGCGCATACTCCGAAAAAACGAGCAGTACTTTTATTTTTCTTTCACTCTAAAAGACGCAGAGATTTTTCCTAAGCTACTATTTTGAAGCAGCTCTTGAGTAACAGCTCCTGTGTTCCATAATCGATTTCTTGTTATTAATTTACATTTGATGACAGTAGTTATCCATTCAAAAGAGAGAATGACCATCAGTCCATAAATCTAACTGACGATGTTGTTCACCTTCAAAGTCTGTTAAACATAAGACAGGAAGTTTGTTAAAGGGGTGCCTATAATGCTGTTTCCTGAAAAAATAAATACTTCTGCTAAAGGACCCAAATGAGCTGGGATGCGACAACAAATATGACACAAATGGATGGATGAATTTGTGTGTTATTAATGTTTCTGTTGAGAGCTTTTTACTGTATCCAGATGAACCCTTATGTAAGTTGTACATCATGGAAGAATTATCAAGCAGAAACTGACGCATTAAACAAGAATGTGGTTCAATACAGAGGAGAAGCTGGTCTCAGTCAACAACCATCGTGAATGAAATGTCTCACAAATTAGCATATCAACAAATGTACTATCCACAAAATGGTATCAGGAATAAATGCGATTTTTTTTGCAACAGAAGCGAGGATTTATTTAAAAGATGTATTGATAACGTTTCATTTCGTGCTATTTTGGGGTTGGGGAGTTAGGCTAGATTTTCTTTAAAACGCCAAAATGTTATATTTATTTGCATAATAAAATGTAAACAAACAGTGTACCATCAACATAAGGTGGAAAAAATCAGAATTCAAACCGATTGCTGTAATTTTTTTCCTTTGTATAACTAAATGATAGAATATTCTTATTTTCAAAACACAATCTTACTGGTATCATTACATTGATTTAAATTTATAGTTGAAGTGCGCATGCGTGTATTTTATTTCTCAACGAAGACGTACCGGAGAAGAAAGCTAAAATTACTGTAGAAGGCGATTTTTCACAGCCTTCATCAACGCGCCATTCATTCGCGGAAGTATTCTTAGTTTCATTAATCATTAACTTCATCTGTGGAGAAAGGCAAGATTTCGAGATAAACAAGCCTATAGAAAGGGTGAAAACAGTTTCACGACAGAATGGACACTTAATTAACCACTGTATTCCTCAAACGGTTAAGTTCGATTTTAGAGTTATACTATTAAGAAGAATTAAGTATCTATAGCATAATTGTTTAACCAAAGACTATCATACTGACCTTTTCCTCCTGCTCAAAAAAAGGTGCTCGAAATGTTAGGGGGTAAGAACATTCAGCCGCCATCTTGTCTTCGATGTACTGTTTTACGAAAGGAAAGAATGTCCTCTCAAGGGCGACAGCGAGGCTACAATAAATTCACTTTCATCGTACAAATAAATCGATACCTTAAAGAAAATGTTTGCGGAACGTAGCACCAAGTACACGTCATTCAGCTCCAGAAAACAGTCTGCAAATGCTGGTAATGAACGTAAACAATTCACAGAAAATGCCTCTGTGGCACTTCAACAGCCCATATTGGCGCATGCGCATACAAAATGCCCTCCTGTTGGCTAGCCCAATCGAGTTTTTAAACGCAAATTTCCCTCCATAGATAAGCCCTTCCAAATATAAGCCCCTCCAAAAATAAGCCCCTCAAAAAGGGCCTTTGAAAAATATAAGCCCCGGGGCTTATTTTCGGAATTTTACGGTAATTGCTGGATCTTCTTTTTAACAGATCCATACCCACCCACCTTCCGCCCCCCACAAAAAAATGAGAAATGCGCAAATCATTAAACCCAAAAATTTGGACGACCTTGCAGCTCTCAGGAGACTTCACAGGATTGGTTAGGAAAACAATGAACAAAAAAAGTTACCAATAGAACCTAGCCTGAAAACATAAGAGCTGCGACCCATAGGGATCCAATTGAATTAGAGGTTCCTAAGAACTGCAAGACTACTGAAATATATAGATTTGAAATTAGTGTTGATTCTTTTCTTTACGACTCCAGTCGTGAGGAGGTTACCGCCCGAATAGACCTTGTCTGAAACTCCCTCCCCAATAATATTCTGGTACTATATACTATTTCCCCATTGATCCTTTGCCTTGTGGGAAATGAAGAGTGCATGCCAGCTAGCATGATTAGTTTATGCCAGTACTTTACGCATGCGCACAGCCACATCATTCAGAAAGTAATCTGCCCTAATTTGGGCGATATGGCTGTGAACAGGCGAAAGGCACTGGACAGTTCGTAATTAAGGTGTCCCAGTGTGTCACGTGCTTTAAGTGTTTCGTTTATATAAGCATTACTAAGGCCACCACCATGTCCTCTCTTGTTACTGTTGGACTTACACGCTTTCAGAGGTCGTTACCTTGTGGGAGAAGCCGGGGGGAAGCCTGAGGGATAAGGGGAGGGGGTTTGCTTATTGGGGAGTAAAAAAATTAACACTGTTAATTTGCCAGTAATTAAAACCAGTTTAATGGCACAAATTTTGATTAAAAAAACAACAACATGTTTATTCAGTATTACCATTTCTATACATGGTGTTACCGATAGGAATACAAAACTAAACAAAGAAAGTTAAGTAAATACCAATATAATTGAATGATATAATTAATAATCATTTTTCTTTTGCTTTCAAATGCTTGAAAAACGAAAGTAGCAGCTAGCCTGCTGATATACGAATCAGTATTGTGGAAACGAAAACAGAGTTTATCATGGTTATTGTAATTTTTAAAGCCACTTCATATCACTTATCACGTACTATTTGAATTCCTTAATTCCCATCCATACTGTCTATGTGCGTTAGCTAGTGATAGCTAGCTAGTTTAACACCCTATGAATAACTTCTGCAAACGCAAAACTGCGAATAGCAAAAACAAGGAAAACTATTTCTGAGCGGTTGTTCATTTTTGGGTTTCTTAAAAAACAAAACTTTTCATCTTTCCTTTTCTTTCTCAAATTTTATATGGCTTTTAGAACTAACAGTAATTGTATCTAATAAAATTAATGATGATAATAATGACTTTATTTAAGTGCCAATGTATTTAGCCAGATTTCTGACTAAAAAGAAAAGGAAGAAACGCAATGATATGCAAAAAAAAAATTCTAGATGGATTCCATCTACTTTTTAAGGGGTAACAAAGAGTTAAGCTTCTTTCTGTCAGAAAGACGCAAGTTATTTTATAACAGCAATTACTGAACACGTTTTTCCATGTTTGCAAAGCCTGACATAGACCTTTCCAGGCTTGTACAACTGTCTCGAATTCTCCCAAGCCTTTCTCGTGATTATATGAGGCTATGCAAACAGGGAAAATGTTTTCTATTGCTTAACTGTAGAACTGTTTCTATAAGACTGGAGTTGGATACCACTCCAAACGGACATTCTCTCTTGGCCGTGTGACGTGCCAGGCCGAACCAATGCTAGGCGATTCTGTTGCTGTTTGCACCCTCGCAGACGAAAAACGTAAGCGGCAGACTAAGATTCCCTTCATCTTCTGTCGAAACCTTTGGTTAACCAAAACATATGCGAACGGGTTGACAGCGGCATTAAAGGTCAAATGAACCAAAAAATTGACATATTTTCTTTTGTCACTTTACCTTCACCAAACACTAAAAAGAACCATCCTAAGTGAGATTTGGGTAAAGATTTTTCTTCCCAAGCCTTTACAGAAAGATGAAAGATCAAAATCCGAGCATTTCCGAAGACTTCACGAAAACGTTTCTGAAATGGCCGCGTGATAGACTGGAGACTACGTGACGTCAATGGTGGTCTTTCGGGGCGGAAAAACGTTCTGCGCAAGCTTCTGCGCATCCCTTATCGCCTGCGTTTGTTTGTCTCGTTCTGTGAGAGTTCTGACTGAGACTGAATGAAATACACGAGGTGCGAACGTTTGCTCCTTGTAAAGGCTTTTTTTTTTGTTTTTGTTGTTGTTGTTTTTTCGTCACTTGAAAATTACTTTGGATTCAGAACAACCAATGTTAGAGTAAAAACAGATTATTCCGTCAGTCTGAGGTGGAATAAAACGTTTTGAACATTTCCAAACAGGTTTGTATTTTTCTGATAATTGTGTATTCGATTTGTGAGTTGATTTTGTGTCCAATGCTTCGCCTTCTTTCGCCGGGTTGAATTAAAACCTGCTTGTATTCTGTTATTAGTAGTGATGGTTACTTTTTTTTACATGGCCAGATTTATTTACCTTTGCAGAACCAGCTTTATCCTTGTCTTCAGTCAAAGAACCGTAATGGTTAAATAACGCATGCGAGTGATTAACCTTGTGCGCTTTTAAGCTTTTAAGTTTTAAAAACTTTCTCGGAACTTTAGAAGGCCAGCAAGCTTACTCGAGAAGNGGGCGGAAAAACGTTCTGCGCAAGCTTCTGCGCATCCCTTATCGCCTGCGTTTGTTTGTCTCGTTCTGTGAGAGTTCTGACTGAGACTGAATGAAATACACGAGGTGCGAACGTTTGCTCCTTGTAAAGGCTTTTTTTTTTGTTTTTGTTGTTGTTGTTTTTTCGTCACTTGAAAATTACTTTGGATTCAGAACAACCAATGTTAGAGTAAAAACAGATTATTCCGTCAGTCTGAGGTGGAATAAAACGTTTTGAACATTTCCAAACAGGTTTGTATTTTTCTGATAATTGTGTATTCGATTTGTGAGTTGATTTTGTGTCCAATGCTTCGCCTTCTTTCGCCGGGTTGAATTAAAACCTGCTTGTATTCTGTTATTAGTAGTGATGGTTACTTTTTTTTACATGGCCAGATTTATTTACCTTTGCAGAACCAGCTTTATCCTTGTCTTCAGTCAAAGAACCGTAATGGTTAAATAACGCATGCGAGTGATTAACCTTGTGCGCTTTTAAGCTTTTAAGTTTTAAAAACTTTCTCGGAACTTTAGAAGGCCAGCAAGCTTACTCGAGAAGAAAAGACTACTTCGATCATTTTTCTGTTGCTCAAGTAATAATAGTCAGTTTTTTTTCCTTTAGTTTTTTTCAGTTTTAATTGCATAGTTTTGTTATCTTTCTGTACGCAAATTTTCATTTCACTCGCTGCAAAGTAGCGGAGAACGACAACTGCCGGCAGTGACTCCAAAACAATCGACTCTTTGGCCGTAAACCATTGCTGGAGCTGAATTTGACCGAAGCGAGCAAAAGAAATCCTTATGTGCAGTTTTCTGTATTTTCTAATGATTCAGTTTGCTGAGTTTAGTTTGCTTGAATGAAGACCCTCGCATGGACCAGTTATTAAAAGTAGCTAATCTAGCTAAGTAGTCGGAATCATGGCTTGGCTGCGAAACTTGCAACTGATCTTTTGCTCTTAAGATCTTTAGGCAGATTGTTTCCATACAGAAAATTCACTTCTTCTTTGTCAGTAGGTATAAGAGCCTTAAGCCTTATTTTTTTAATGAAAATTTGTTGTTTTACAACCTTATTGAAGCTTTTTTTAGTTCACTTAATCTGAATTTTATGCATGATGGAATTGTTCTTTGCTTGTCGCATCTCTTTGCCAGCTTAAAGTGGCGTCTATGGTCCTTAAAGTGACCTCAATCGGTAATTAAATCTTATACATAATTGGAAAGAAGTTTTTGCAATAATGTAACTTTAACTTTGTTTGAAGGAAATCTTACTTACGCGTAGGTTTTTGACAGGTGTTATGCATGTTCAACTTGACAACACAAAGCAAAATTAATCTGCGCGAAACGATCAAGTTTAAAAAACTATGGTTGCTTTGAAACCGATCTTGGGAAAGATTTATTAGATAAAGATTAACTCTTTTTCTGCCCACATATCAAGGCCAAAACTTCTACATTGAGGATTTTGTTTATATGTTAGTGATCTGCGAAGCTAGAAGTGTCCGATCGAGCGTGGATTTTAAAATATCAGCTCGAGTGCGACAAAGTTCAGAGACTTCAAACACATTGTGGGCAAACTTGAATTTCTTTGGGCAGATTATTATACAAAGATATTTTGTTTTTGTGTCCACGGTGGAGCTCCGGACCATATATATCCAAGAACTTCCTTATATGAACACATTTTGTGAATGCATCATGAAAAAAATTGGACTTGCGCACGCACATTTTCAGTACAACTCAAGGAAATTAGTAAATATGTGTCGTTAAAGTCGTTTTACTATGATGTATTCTTCGACAAAATTAAATAATAACAAGGTTATAACCACAGCTTGCAACTTTTGAGGACAAATTGCCTGTTCTTTCCAGGTTTATGGCCACTTCTGCGCCAAGTCGACTCGAAAAACTCTGTTTTGAATTCCCGCTTTTTTTCACCTGACCAACATTGACGTCACAAGCTGTTTTTTCCGACAATTTTTCCGACCACTCTACGAAGATAAGGGCCAAAAAATAGCAATTTTTAATTGCGAATATCTCGGAGATATTTGCTTCAATTGACCTGAAACTTCACAGTATGTTTATTTGGTTCATATTAAACACATTTCACTAGAATTGAACTAAAATAAAAAAGGTCGAAATTTTGGTTCATTTGACCTTTAAATATGATCATGACGTGAGCCATAGGAATCGCTACCGGGCTGAATTTGTAGGAGGCAACAAGTTCCACCAGCATATTCCAAATATAACAGTCACTATAAGAACCATTAGGGTCACTCTCTTACGCACTTTCAGTACAGCCTGGGTAAAGAAAAAAGGAACGAGAACTCATGAGCACGAAAAAGAATGGTTTGAAAAGACCATTTTCGATATATTAAAGTTCATACTTGGCTCCAAGCCTCGCAGCCATTTATGGATTTTAATATATCGGAATTGGTCGATTGAAGCGTCTAGCCTGCTTTGAAAAGAGTTTCGTGATCAATAAATAATAAATAAACAAAAGTAAGTAAAAAGTATGCACAAATTTGAATAACTATATCGGATAAAACGTGGGCCACGAATAAATGAGTTTCTGTAATACAAGTTGTAAGAATCCTTACAGTTAACTTATAAATTTCTGTGCTGACAGCTACTGGTCAGTTGATCGTCGAAAGTTTCTATCAGTATCCCCTTCTTAAAACCACGTTAATACCTGTGCGGGCATTAGCAATTAAGATAATATAAAGATATAGTGAAGCAACTGCATTAGTTCTTGCAGTGTTAGCTCAGTCGGTAGAGCGTGTGACTGCAGAGCAGGAGATCGCGGGTTCGATTCCCAGGGCCGGACTAAAGAAATGAAGGTACTCCCTTTGTTCTGCAAGCCTCTACTTAATTGCACCTTTTTTTCTCGGTATTTCCACACAAAACATTTATTGGCCAATAAAGTCATACCTGTTGTTGGCATGTGTGTTGAGTATGATCATGACGCTTGAAAAACGTAGTGTATATGACTCTTGAATACTACCCCATCATCAGGGTAAAGCAAAGCATAGGAATGCAAATTCCTGCCAATAGAAAGGATTTTTCCATCCATTTTTGTGGCCAGTCGTAATCGTAAATACAATAGTTGGGATTTTGTTCCTCTACAAAGTCTTGCTTTATAAATTCTGGAATATTAATAATCACTGCGAGGATCCATGAACCAGGAATTATTAGCTCTAAAAAAAATATGTCGAGGTCATCATCCCCTCGACTAACCTAGACTGTGTACGGTTTTGGTAAGTGCAGTTATTCTGAGAAAGTCCAAATGAAAGAAAAGAAGGGCTGCTTCTTGGTATTGCTTATGATGTCATTACTATAATTACGACTTTGAAAAGAAACTCAACAATATCTGTACCATGCACAACAAACATTAACCTACCATCAGATCCTGTACACACGCGGAAAACTTTTCAAGGCCAAAATTACTGACAGTGACTCTTGTCACGTGTGTGGATTGATGCAGACCTTAGAGCATCTGTTTGGAGAATGCAAGGATGTCTACCCCCTCTGGAACCTTCTTGCCTCTTAGTGGAACGGCAGTAACTTATCCATTCTGTCTTTGTCCAGTAAAAAAACTTACAAAAAAAGAAACGTTACTACCACACGTTCAATCTTTGCCTGATAGTTGCTCTTTTTAAATCTGTGTTACAGGTCAAAATTTACATTCAGGTTAAAAATTTTAACCTAAGTTGATTATTTATTTCCTTACTTCTCCTGGCCCTAATTATTCAAAAATTAGGGCCAGGAGAATTAAAGAATCAACCTAGGTTAAAAAAAATTAACCTGAGTTAAATTTGACCTGTAACATCCTTACCGCAGCCAAAGAAAGTAAACAGTTTATTTTCTTAGCCTTTAAAGCTGGAACACAAATTATCTATAGAATCTTCAAGCGCACTAAGATTGGTCCAATGAGTGGACCAAAATAATTTCTTCTCGGTAAAGTAATATCAATAGTTAACGTCAGCGTAGCTATCGCTATTAGGTCAAAGTCCTTAGTACAACAATTGTTTGAGAATTTTTAGATGATTTTTCGAATGTTTTAAATGAGTGAAAATTCGTGGGGGATTTAAAAAATGTGCGAGAATTCGAAAATATTGGATTGGGGGTCAACGCTGCAGTGCTTCCAGAAAAGGTTACCTTTAGCTTGCGTATTGTTAGCTTTCCTTTGTTACCAAGAGGATATACGACAGCATAGTAACGTTCCATTGCGATGGCAACAAGGGTGAAGACCGAAGCACCTTCCCCAATCCAGGCCAGGAGTCCATTTCTGAAGATGCATAAAACACTCCCCGCCACCCCTTCCGGATGTCCGTTGATGTGGCTGATAACTAACAGTGGTATGTTAAAAGTCGCGTAGGTAATGTCCCCCACTGCCAAATTCACAAGTAGGAAATTTATAGTAATCCTGTCAAGTGAGGAAATTAAGATTAATCCACTTTATGGCACGATAAAGGAGGTATTCCTTTACTTTTCCTTTTTTCTCGGAAGATCATTTAGCATTTTCTGCTCAATAGACTCTTCCACGGGTTTTTCAACTTTTGACTGGAACCAGTTAGCGAAAATCCTTCAATCGTCAACATGGCTGACGAGAACGCATTAAAGGGGCTGTGTCGTGTGTGTGTCTTCTGTGTTCTTTCTTTTGTTTAATTTTGCCAATTACTCGCCCTACGTTCGCCCTCAATCGCTATGGAACTTAAAGTAAGCAAAGAAATTACATGTAAATGACAAAATCAGAGATCCGAGACGAACAAATATGTCTCATGAGCATTATTTTTGAAGTTGCAAGCCGCAGGGATCAACTTTGAAAACTGTTAGGCTGAACAGTTTTCGAAAACCTATTTTAATCCGTTTCAATCTTCTTCAGTTTTGCCCATCCGTGGCATCTGTTGTTTCTGTTATGTTATTTTAACCATCCTTTAAAGTTTTAAGGGGTTATTTTTATGTTTCTCTTAATTTAACGGGCATTTTGTAATTCCCTAATTTGGCTAAATTTCCAGACACAGCTCCTTTAAAATCAGCAAAGATGCCAAATTTGATCACGATTTGTTGATAACTACCGAAGATATAG